CGAAATGTTTGAAAGTTGATTAGATCTTAGAGCGTGGCATGTTAGAAAATACAGGAGAAAACCTTGGCACGTAGCGTCAATGATAAAAGAAAGGTGAAGAGAAGATCCAAGAACGTAGCATCAATGATGTTACTGTAGAAAATTGAAAAGAATATCGTCGAGCTAAGGGTCAGTGATGTTCAACATTTGAAAAGAAGACCTTAGAGCGCATTATTGATGATGTCAGAACATGGAAAAGAAGATCTTAGAGAGTCGCGTCAATGGTGTTGGAAAATTTGAAGAGAAGATCTTGGCGCGTAGCATCACTGATGTTTCAAATTAGAAGTAAAGATCTTGGAACGTCGCTTCCAGTATGTTGACAATTGAAGAGAATATCTTAGAGCGTAACATCAAACATGTTTGAAAATTGAAGAGAAGTTCTTAGAGCGTAGCATCATTGATGGTACAATGGGAGAAACATGGAAATAAAACCGAAAAACATAGCATCAATGCGGGTAGAATGTGAGAAAAAAACAAAAGAAATCTTAGAGCGCAGCATCGGTGATGTCTGAAAAGTGAAGAGAGTATCTGAAAGCGTAGCATCAACAATGTTGGACAGTTGAGAAGATCTTTGAGCGTAGAATGGCTGATGTTGGAAACTTGAAGAGAAGATCTTTGAGCGTAGCATCAATGATAGTAGAAAAACTGAAGATCTGTTGCAGTTTGGAGATTGAAGAGAAGATCTTAGGGCGTAGCATCAATGAAGGTAGAAGCTTGGAAGAATGATGCGCAAATCTTGGAGCGTAGCATCAATGATGGTAGAGTATTTGCAAGTTGGGTAGATCTTAGAGCGTAGCAGCAACCAGTTAGAAGCCTAAGGAGAAGCTGTTGGGTAGTAGCAGCAATGCAGTCTATGTAAAACATGCAGAAGGTCTCAGAGCGTATCAGAGCGGAGCATCAAATAATGTTAGAAACTCTGATCCCCGGTGCGTTACTTCTTGACTTTCGTTTAACGCTTCCCTTCCATTTGCTACAGCGTTCCTTTCGTTTCAACTCTTCCCGTCCATTTGATACTTCCTTTCTTTCGTTTCAACACTCCCATCCCGTTCATGTACTTCTTCCTTTCGTTTCAAGCCGTTCATGTGGTTACGTCCTTCCACTCGTCTCAATTCCAATACAATCCTTTTGGTTACATGTTTTATTGCAACTAGCCTATTTCGTTTGTTACTTCCTTCTTTAAGTTTCAACACTCCCCCACGTTAGTTACTTCCTTCCTTCCGTTTGCTGTCAAGTCGTTCATTTCGCTATGTCCGTCCTTACGTTTCACCTCGTTTATAAACCCCCTTCGTTTCACCTCTTACGCCTCCTACAACCTGTTCGTTACGTTGATTCTTTCGTCGTTCCGTTCGGCCGTTCCTTTAGTTTCAACTCTTTCCTTTCATTCGTTACTGTCTTCCTTTCGTTTCAACTCTCTCCTTTCATTCGTTACTTCATTCCTTTCGTTTCAACTCTGACATCCCGTTCCTTACTGCTTCCCTTCGTTTCAAGTCGTTCATTGCTGGCCGTGGTCCAAGAGATTTCCTACTTGGGTGATTATAACAAAAGCATTCAACCTAACTATGATAAAAATTCATCTCTCCCCTTCGGCTGAAAAACATGATACGGATCGAACCAAAAGTGCTGGAAATCTGGTGGAGCAGTGCCAAGGGTTTGCTATACACAGGCGGTAAACAGTGGTAAACACCGAGAAACTAACCAGCATCCACGAAAAAAATGGTACGAATCAAAAATTTACCAACACCCACGGTAAAAGCGATAAAATTCGAAAAATATTTCTTTCCTTTGTTCCCTGTAGGGGGCACAAGCGTATACCCGGTGGACAAACAACAGCCCCTTTAAATCTGTTCTTTCCGTTCATTGTGTCCTTCCTTTCTTTTCAACTCAACGTTTCCTTTCCGTTCATTGCCTCCTTCCTTTCGTTTCGCCTCTTCCTTTCCATGCGTTACTTCTGTCCTTTCGTTCCATGTCTTATATTCCGTTCGTTACTTCTTCCCATTCGTTTCAACTCTTCGTGTGGTTTCAACTCTTCGTTTCCGTTCATTGCGTCTTTCCTTCCGTTTCACCTTTTCCCTACTATGCGTTACTTCCGTCCGCTCGTTTCAAGTTTTATATCCCGTTCGTTTCTTCTTCCCTTTCGTTTCAACTCTTCCCTGCCGTTTGCTCCGTCCTTCCTTCTGATTTAATTCTTCCTGTGTCGTTTCAACTTGTCCTTTCCGTTCGCTGCGTCCTTTCTTTCATTTCAAGTCTCCTCTTCCATTTGTTACTTCCTTTCTTTCGTATTAACTCTTATGTCCTGTTCGTTTCCTTTCTTTCGCATAAACTCTTATGTCCTGATCGTTCAGTTTTTCCTTCCGTTTCAACTCTTCCTTTCTATTCGTTGCGTCTGTGCCTTCGTATCAACTCTTCTGTCTTGCTCGTTTGGCCCTTCCTTTCCTTTCACCTTGTCCATTTCGTTGCGTCCATCCTTTCGTTTCAACTCTTCCCTCCTATTTGTTATTTCTTTCCTTTCGTTTCAACTCTCACCTCACGTTTCACAGAAAACTTGAAAAAATGCAGTTCGCGAGAAAAGCATTTTTTTTTCAAGTTTTCAAAGCTGGGGCCATTCGGGCTGGTATTTGCCGTCCATGCAGCCACTTGCGGCCACTTGCGGCCACTTGCGGCCACTTGCGGCCACTTGCCCTAGCGGCCACATGCGGCCACGTGCGGCCACTTGCGGCCACTCGCTTGGAGCGGCCACTTGCGGCCACTTGCGGCCACTTGCGGCCACTCGCTTGGAGCGGCCACTTGCGGCCACTTGCGGCCACTTGCGGCCACTTGCGGCCACTCGAGTGGCTGCAAGTGGCTGCAAGTGTCTGCAAGTGGCTGCAAGTGGCTGCAAATAATGCAAATGGCTGCAAGTGACGCTGCTCTGGAAATTTCAAATCCTACCAGTAGAACAACCGGCCACATGCGGCCACGTGCGGCCACTTGCGGCCACTCGCTTGGAGCGGCCACTTGCGGCCACTTGCGGTTAGTTGCGGCCACTCGCGGCCACTTCCGGCCACTTGCCCTAGCGGCCACTTGCGGCCACTTGCGGCCACTTGCGGCCACTTGCGGCCACTTGCGGCCACTCGAGTGGCTGTAAGTGGCTGCAAGTGGCTGCTTTTTTGAATTTCAAATACCGCTGGTTTTGCAACCTCAATGAAATTCCCAATACATGGAAAACATAATCCAGTTATGTTCCAAACCACCAACCAGAATATCAAATATATATATATATCATGTGTTAACCATATATATATATAATCATATTAACATTATCGAAGGAAGTCTAGAAGTCAAACTTCCGACAATATGGACAGATGAAAAGCAGAGATGGGAAGAGCCAGAGAGAAGAGAAGAGTAGAGTAGAAGAGAGAAGATCAGAGAAGAGAAAGAGTCAGAAGAAAGAAGATGCAGATGCGCGAAAAGGTAAGAAAGTCGCGAAACATTGTGTTTTTCCAATGATTTGTGGCTCCGAAGGGTCGAAAAGTCGAAAAGTAGGCTCGCTAAAGCGGCGGGTTCTGAGCCATCTGGCCCAGATGAGAGATGAAAAATTGCACGCCGTTGTGGCGCGAAGCACATTTCGAAGTCGAAATGTACAAAACACACCAGGTTCGGACCACTTTTGGCAGTTGCGATGTCGAAAAAGTGCACGCCGTTGTGGCGCAAAGCACATTTGGAAGTCAAAATGTACAAAACACACCATGCTCGGACCACTTTTGGCAGTTGCGATGTCGAAAAAATGCACGCCCTTGTGGCGCGAAGCACATTTCGAAGTCAAAATGCGAAGTCAACATGTACAAAACACACCACGTACGGAGCACTTTTGGACATTCAGATCTCGTTTTGCGTGGCAGGCGCAAGGGATTGTGCACCTTCTAAAAAGCAAGCAAAACGTGAGGGTTTTGTAGCATTTCCAAAAACGATGGCAGGCGTGGGACATTTGAAGAGGATCTGCAAAGATGCATTTTCCGTGGCAGGCGCAGTACAAACGACATGTTCATGAGAGATGTTAGGAGGTCAGGGCGCTGATTTCCTGAGATTTTGGAGCATCAGATCTGTAGGTTTGCTAAGATGATTTTGTGTGACAGGTGCAGCACTTTGTATGACCTGGCATCACTACAGGTGGACAGCAAAAATTGCAAAACGCAATGGTACGAGGCCGTCAGCTCTGCAGTCAACTTTCCATTTTTGAAGGAAGTCTCGCAGAATTGCTTCGTTTTTGATGTTGTCAAGTGTAAAAAATTAAGAAGTCTCGCAGAATTGCTTCGTTTTTGACGTTGTTAAGTTCAAAAATGAAGGAAGTCTCGCAGAATTGCTTCGTTTTTGATGTGGTCAACTTCAAAGGAGGAGGAGGTCTCGCAGAATTGCTTTCTGTTTGATGTGGTCAACTTCAAAAAATGAGAAAGTCTCGCAGAAGTGCTGCGTTTTTGATGTTGTCAACTTGGAAAAATGAAGAAGTCTCGTGGAATAGCCGGGTTTTCAAGCTTGCAGATAGACAGGTAGATAGATAGACAGACAGACAGACCGAGAGAGAGAGAGAGAGAAATAGATAGATAGAGATAGATAGAGATAGATAGAGATAGATAGAGATAGATAGAGATAGATAGAGATAGATAGAGATAGATAGAGATAGATAGAGATCGATAGAGATAGATAGAGATAGATAGAGATAGATAGAGATAGATAGAGATAGATAGAGATAGATAGAGATAGATAGAGATAGATAGAGATATATAGAGATAGATAGAGATAGATAGAGATAGATAGAGATAGATAGAGATAGATAGAGATAGATAG